AGTGTGTGCGTGCGTGCGTGCGTGCGTGTGTGAGTCCGTCTGTCTGTCTGTCTGTCTGTGTGTGTGAGTGAGTGAGTGTGTGCGTGCGTGCGTGCGTGCGCGTGCGTGCGTGCGTGCGTGTGATCCTAGCTATAGACTGCTGGGGTAGAAGAGTGTCGTTGTTACACAGACAGACAGGGTCTGTGTACAGGCGGTGAGTGAGGTAGCGAGGCATCACCGTACATTACATTCTCACTTCTCTCTCGTTCATAAAATCGAAAGAAATTCGGCTGATACGTCCGAAACAAAACGAAATGTTGTGCGCGGCGGAAAATATCACAGGTTCCATTTTTTTTTGCACGCAGACGTACTATGAAGAGCTAATACTACCTTATTATCCCATTTATCAATGTGATGTTAGCTCTGGCTACTATCTTGGTACTATTAAGCAGTTTCTATGTTTGCTTTTTTAAGCGTGCTTGACCAGTGGCTGGAGGTAGTAGCTTCATGTGTATGTGAATGCCCAGAGGTCAGTTTATTTAAACATAGATGGCCTTAGATCGATATGTTTATAATGGATAATCTGAAGGTCTCCCGTTAATATTTTCGACTCTATGGGAGAACACCAAATTGCTCTCTTTTCTTCTCTAAGAAAGTCATTTCTGCAGCCCCCCCACAACTTTATTTCGAGCAGTGATCATGTTCCAACGTGTAATTATTTCAGTGTTAATAACCTGGGTCTCGGTGTCAGAAACATCGTAATGTTAAGACTATAATTTTGTGTCTGGCATCGGGCCCCTGATGTCGCTTTGTAATAAATAAGGATGTTAATATTTTAGGATGTGTGCAGAGCCGTAATTTGGATCGCATGCTAAACGATGTTTTTGCGGTATGTAATTTATGGAAAAAGACGTTTTGTAATTGACGTGCCATCGTGATGCTTCCTACTAGTATGTCGTGATTCACCTTCACGTTATGCGATGATGTAATTAGTCTGAATGTTCGATGTACACGTGTTCGTCATGCTATCTCTTTATGTTGTGTCGCAGTCTGAATGCGGCTTCCCTCTAATTAGATCTTACCGCACAAAATCCACGGCGGCCGAACGTGTTCATTAGAATATTTACTGTAAATACATATTTCGAGTGTTATATGTGCGCGTAGTTTGGATGTATGTGTAAATTGCTCTGTGGGGGGTCAGGGGATTTCTAAAGAATATTCGGATACGTGTCAGCGTACAGGCTGCTTTCAAAATACGATATTTTCTGTGAGGTTTACTATTACTAAGGCCTATCTAGCTATAGCTTCTTTGTCAGTGGTAAGAAGGCCTGTGTAATATATTATTATATGGTGATGACACGTGTAGACACATTTGCTGTTTCATCAAATATGTGTGTGTGGGGGGGGGGGGTCGAATTCCTACCCATCAACGAACGCTATTTTTACATGTGTGTCCGAGTTTGTAATGCGTTTGAGACCAAAGTAAACATAAAATAAATTTTGTGAGTAAGTACGTCACTGATCACACACACTGTGCCTGATAAGGTTTGTCTATGAATGCTAAGCAACATGAATGACGCGCAGTGTTCAGCCGAGTACATCTGAGTACTGTAAAAACATCTGATTACGTGTATATATAAATTACATTAAAAATCGCATGAATCCATTCAACAGTCGAGTTACGCTTTTCGGTTTCTGTCAATCTTTT